AGAAATGCTTTTGGGTCAATGGATACCAGTTATGTTCCAAATAAGCATAGACACTGAACCAGCCTAACAAGATAGGGAGGAGACATACTTGGAACGTTCCACTTCTGGGCATGTTGGGTGGTGATGTGTATTTGAAGTTTAGCTTTTTAAGATTTTCTAATTTCTCTAGTATTTTCTAATGTTTTCTAATATTATGTTCTGATTATGGTGAGTTAGAGCAAAAACAGTTAGGTAACTTCTTATTCATTGGTTTCAGAAATAGGATATACAATTGCATTAATTAATGAATGTTATATAGTTGCTATTATAAATAATAATATCAAACAATATCAAATAAAAACTAGCAATAGACACACAATTGCTAAGTGTCTACCTTGCATAGGAACTATATAAGGTGTTTTCCATCAATTATCCCTAATTCTTAAAACAATCACCCAGCATCATGGGGATTATATCCCCATTTCCACAACAGCAAACTGAAGCTCAAAGAAAGGAAGTGAATTACCCAAAAGTATATACCTACTAAGTCATGGAAGAAGAAGTTGCACTCTGGCCTTGAAGGCCATACTTTTTCCATTATGTCATGCTATCATTATACTGGTGAACAAAATTATCAAATTTATTTATTTAATATTCATTCATTTTATCTACTGTAAAGTTGGCCAATAATAGTATCTACTCTTGGAGTTTTTGTGAGACTTAATGGCATAATTCACATAAAGCACTTAGCAACAGTTTGGCATATAACAAATACTCGACATTAGTTTTTATCATGTTTTTTTATTGGCTGTGGGCTAGGAGCTGAGTCAGGCACTGGGGAAACAGGAGAATAGGATGCTACCTCTTTCTTCAAAGGGCTTGTAACTAGTGTAGTGGAAGTGGTTAGAATATATTTTACAAATGATCATACTACAGTGTGATAGATGCAGAGGTAGAAATGGCTCCACAGACAGAGTGGTAGTACAGAGGGTCAGTTGGCCATTCTCCCCACGCTGGAGAGAACACCTTCACACAGCTCCGGTCATTAATGTGATGATCCTCTGTCCAAGGTGATGTTGTGTAGTATCATAGAAAGGTCTGTGTGCCAGGTGATTTTTTAAAAAATTGTTTTAGTTCTTTCCTAAAGGACAGGTTAACCAAATAAAAACTCTTTTCTGAATAAAGTGTAAGTGCTGTTCATCAAGGACTTGAATTGTGATGTTGCACCTGGAGAAAGAGGCAGAGCAGAGTCTGATAACCCTGGACTCCACAGTGGGCAGGGAGGGATGGGGGAAGAAAATTACCACTCACCAGGGAAATACAGAACAATGTTCCACACCTAAAATAAAGCCTTTCTTTGTCAAGCCTGTCTACTTGCTCCCTCCCATGGAAGGAAGCCTGCCTGTTGGCACACCACACCCACTTCTTTTACTGAGCTCTGGGCAGCCTTGCCTTTCAAAAGAGAGGCCTCATGGGAAAACACACTTATGTAACTACAAGAGGCCCAGCTATTTATACTAGCTATTCTAGTCTTTCATTTATAAATATGAGCTTTTAACATAGACTCAGAAGAAATTCAGTGAAAGGTAATTGCCAGGAAGAGAAGGGTTAAGATAAGCAAAGCAAACAACCAAAGCCAAGAGAAAAGAGTTAATGTAGGCAATAAAAAATATTAAAACAAAACTTGTTTTGGTATCTTCAGGGAGATTCAAGAGGCTATTGAATTATAAGACAAGACTGGACTGCCAAAGAAATGAGTTGCTAGAAGAAAAAAACTCTTAGAAATTAAAAAGCATAATTAAATACACAATAGGGTAAAAACATAGAATAAATCTAGCTGAAGACCAATTGGTAATCCAGAATACAAAGTTAAATAATTTTCCTAGAACATAGAACAAAAAGAGAAATAAATTAATAGATTGAAGGATAGAGCCATGGAATCCCACACCTACCATATAGAGATTTCAAAAGAGAGAACAAAGAGAATGGTTTAGAAAGGAGTATAATGTAGATTATAAAATAAAAATAAATAGGGATTTCAGAAGTAAGTAGGCAGAAATAACAGAGGGGAAAGAAGTAAAAAGAAAGAACAAACGAATGAAAGAATGAATATAGTTTCTCCAACTGAAGGAAGACTTAATTGTTGAGAATAAAAAAACTCACTGAATGCTTAGCTGGGAAAAGCAAAAAATAAAAGGCACATGCTTAGACCTAGGCTAGTGAAATTTCATACCTCTAAGGTAAGAAAGGAAATCTTAAACATTTCCAAAGAGGAAATAAGCTAACAAAATTTTCTACAAAGGGATAGGAATACTATTGTTATCAAACTTTTGAAATATTGATTACCTAATGACAGTGGAATAGTCAAATTTTTTGAAGTATTTTGACCCAAGAGATTTATAAAAAATCCAAACTATTATTCAAGTTTGAAATAAAATGAAAATATTTTCAGGCCTACAGGTATTTAGAGAATTTATATCTATGCAACTTTTCTGGGTGAAAAAATCTTTTAAGATTTATGCCAGTAAAGTAAAAATACTCCATGAAAGTATGACATAGGATACAGAAAGCAATAGTAGGGAAATGAGCAAATTCTACAGTTTAGTGTAAACTGTTGAAATTGTGTCTGTCAAACTTAATGCAATTGTTAAGAAAAGTTTCCTTGAAAATGAAAAGGGTAGTAAAACAACCAGTAATCATCTGTAACTAATAAAATCGCAGATTATTTCAACCAAACATTGGAAGGTCTGGTGTGAGAAAGGAATCTTATTTGGGAAGAATAAATTATAGATGTTGATTAATTTTCAACATAGAAAACTTAATTGTGTATACTTTAATTTTAAAAAAATTTAAAGTTTTATTTTTAGTTTATTTTTGAGAGAAAGAGAGAGAGAGAGAGAGAGGGAGAGAGAGAATGAGTGGGGGAGGGGCAGAGAGAGAGGGAGACAGAGGAGCTGAAAGCAGGCTCCAAGCTGTCAGCTCAAACCCATGAGCCTTGCTTGAGATAATGACCTGAGTTTAATTCAGACACTCAATCAACTGAGCCACCCAGGTGGCCCGTATGTGTACATTTTAAATACAAGAGCACACTAGGGGAACACATTTAATATATATAATGGTCTAACTTACTAAAGGGGGGAAAATGAACCAAAAATGTTTGATCAATATACATAAAGACAGCAAAAAGTGAACAAAAATGTAACAGAAAATATGAAAAAGATAATAAAAAGAGCATACTAGATATCAGTTATCACAATAAATAAACATGAGTTAAAATCTTACACTAAAAGATACTATATGAATGGTTGAAAACATTCACACAAACTACATATCCAAGTATATGCTATTTGTAATAGGTATACCAAAAAAGAACAAATAGAAAACGATTATGAAATATAGGTCCCCATAAAATTATTACAGGCAAATTGTAACAAAAGGAAAGCCGAAACAATAATGTAAAATGAAATGGAAATTAGAGCAAAGAGGTTTAAATGGGACAGATAGTTATATTTCATATTGATAGCCAGTAAAATCTAACAAACTATAATGACTATGAGACTTTGTCCACCAAACAAAAAGCAGAACAAGTAAACCAAATCTGTTAGAATTACAAGAATAAATTGATGAAAACAGAAGAGAGCCTTCTTAAAAATCTCTATTGCAATAATTTTCGTGCTTCACTCTGAAACCATAAAGCTACGTGAGTTCTTCTGTCAATTCCATTTAGTTATCTGTATATTAACATCCTTCTGCTTTTCTTTTCCTGCACTTTCCCTAAATGGCTTATCAAAGCTCATATGTTAAGGTCTTCTTTTGGGGAGGGTGCTATAGTCAAAAGGACTCTTTGTTAAGTTTTGTGATTGGCAAATGAAGCGGGTAAAGTTATTTTGCTAAAGAGCTGATGGGAGGATGTTTGAATGTTTTTCAGAAGGCAACATTTCTTTTCTCACCAGCTTGCCACTAATCCTTGAGTATGACTCTACCAGTGTTGATTTCGTGGATGCTCAAGGCTAGATGTAACCTTGATGACATCTCATAATTATTTTAGATCAAGACACGAAGCTCATCATCCTACATTTTGGTTCCAGCCGCCACTCACTGTCTACCTTCAAGAAAGTCACATAACGGGGCACCTGGGTGGCTTAGTCGGTTAAGCGCCCGACTTTCGCTTAGGTCATGATCTCGCGGTTCGTGGGTTCGAGCCCCGCGTCGGGCTCTGTGCTGACTGCCAGCTCAGAGCCTGGAGCCTGTTTCAGTCTGTGACTCCCTCTCTCTGACCCTCCCCTGGTCATGCTGTCTCTCTCTCTCTCTCCTAGAAATAAAAAAAAAAAAAAAAGAAAGTCACATAACTTCTCTGGATCTCAGTTAGCTTGTCTTTGAAATAAGGAAATCAAGGCTAGAATAGACAGTTATTAAGACCCTCTTCTTCCTCTTAAGTTTCATTTTTCTACTGCATGATTTTTACTCCTATTTTTCTCCATACAAGCAAAATATTTTTATTATTTTATAATGATAAAAGAAGGAAAATAAAGATTTCTTTTTGGTGTATACCACAGCTAAGGAAAGTAGAAGAATAAGGGAACTGATAGGATTTTTATGTACTTTGATGACAAAAAAAGTTAACAATAACTATTTGCCATGAAACTTATCATAGTTCCCAAAACACATATCTAAAGGATCGTACTTTCAAAATCTAGAAAAGATATTTTTATCAGTCCTTTTCCTAGACTCCTATACTGACTGGAACACTTCTGTCATATATCTTATGAAATATGAAAGCTGACTTTTCATCTTCTTATACTTGTCAAATCTTTGGAAGAAAAGAATAACAACATGTTTGACAGAGTAGTAGTTGTTGCGGGTGATTGAAAGGACCGTTGTTACTGTTTCTTAGCTTTATTTGGCACCCTCCTTGTCCGTAGGGATCAATAATGCTGAGGATTTGGTTGGTGTTGGGCAAATGTGTCTTGAATATGTGGCTTGGGCTTTCTCCTTATAAATGTGGCTTCTCCCTCATTTAGCTGCGTTACAGGCACTAAAGAGAAAGAAGAGATTTGAGAAGCAGCTCACTCAAATTGATGGCACACTTTCCACCATTGAGTTCCAGAGAGAAGCCTTGGAAAACTCACACACCAACACTGAGGTGTTAAGAAACATGGGCTTTGCGGCAAAAGCGATGAAAGCAGTTCATGAAAACATGTGAGTGACTTTGGCCTCCTTCTAAGTCATACATTCCCTCAATGTTGGGAAGAGCCTTTGGAATTATGTGATGATTCTGGCAGAAATGGAATTACTCATTTGAAGCTTTTTGACATGTTGGAATGGAATGCCCCCTTGGAGAAAGATTAGAAGTAAAAGTAGAAAAAAAAAGACCATGAAAAAATGAAGACGTTCATTTTGCTCTTAATGTTTCCTAGTTGCCTCAATATTGTCTGACACTCCACCTGTAAATGCTTTTACACTACAGTTGTTGGTTTTTTTAGGTTTATTTACTTATTTTGAGAGAGACAGAGAGTGTGTGAGCAGGGGAGAGGCAGAAAGAGAGGGAGGCAGAGACTTCTAAGCAGGTTCCACATGCAGAGCCTGATGGGGGGTGGGGCTCGGACTCACCAAACCATAAGATCATGACCTGAGCTGAAACGAAGAGTCAGACGCTTAACCAACTGAGCGACCCAGGCACCCCTATGCTCTCGTTCTTTTAAAAGGCCTAAATGTCAACATCTGTGAGAGTGTTAGAATTATCGACTAGTGGTTGTCAAACCCAAAAAACTGGGGTGCCTGGGTGGCTCAGTCAGTTAAGTGTCTGACTTCGGCTCAGGTCATGATCTCGCGGTTCATGGGTTCCAGCCCCACATCAGGCTCTGTGCTGACAGCGAGCTCAGAGCCTGGAGCTTGTTTCAGATTCTGTATCTCCCTCTCTCTCTGACCCTCCCCTGCTCATGCTCTCTCTCTCTCAGAAATAAATAAAACATTAAAAAGATTTAAAAAAACCCAGAAAACTACAAAAGAGAACACAGATGGTCAAGATCCTTGAAGGGTAGGAATTGGGCCTTTTTGTTTTTAACCACATTCTCCAGGTGATTCTGATATTAACCAGTGTTTGAGAAGCATTGACCTAGAATAATTGCTATAAGCTTGAATTTGAGGTCAGATTTTCTGAGTTATAATCCCAGTTTCATTGCCAACTGTCCTTGAGCAAATTACTTTGCTTCTCCCTGACTCAATTTGCTTAGCTGTAAATTGGAGATCATAATAATACTTACCTCCTGTAGTTATTGTGAGATTCAGTGAGATACTAGATATAGTGTACTTAGCATAGTTTCTGGCACAAAGAAAGCACTCAGTACCAATACTCATAGTAGTAGCAGGGCTGGTGATAATTTGCTTTGCCATTCACACTGGGAAGTCAACAACTGGCACCTGATTCTTTCCCGAGATTAGGTATGATAGTGAGGTCTAGGTCAAAGATGCATAAGAGCAATGAGTGCCTGATGGATGTGGAGAAATGTCTGTGGGTGGGAAAAGTGGGAGAGGGGGCGGCTGCGGTCAGTGAAGACATCTTTGCTAACATTTTCTTGCCTTGATAATTCATTGATAATCAGTTGTTATTTTGATAACTTCAGAAAGATCACTAGAGTCATTGTCAGAGTCAATAATCTGTCATTGCTGTAAAGCTGGGGCCTAAACTGTAATGCAGAATTCCAGCCCTTCTCTCCAGGTAGCTGAGCAGCAGTATTCCACTGTATTCCTTTTGAAAAAAATTCAACCTTAGGCCCAAATTCAGCTGTGCCCTTCTCATACTCCTTTTTATAAATGAGCTCCTTGTATATTTATTATAAATACAATGATAATAATTGGAAATAAGGGGTGACCGGAGGATGCTAAAAGAAAACTTTTTAATGTAAAAATACTTGACTTCCCATAATATAGTGTGGAAAACTTGCAAAATATTTATTCCACTGGGAGTCAAAATTTCAGAGTTTAGTTTGCTTAATAGTGAGAGAAATTGTTACTTCTCTGGGATTCAGTCCGTTGCCCTAGTTTCTGAATTGGAGGAATGATTCAGAGACAGAATGGTAGAGAAGCAGGTCAGGTCCTGGCCTTCAGACACTGCCAGCTGGGGCTGGTGGTTAGAAGCTGGTGGGGCTCAGGTGCTGGAAACTGTCTTCAAAGCAGCTGTTTGTCATGGGCCTGTAGCCGCCTGGATTCCTGTGCTGAGGTTGCTGATTCTTCTGAGAGCTTCTGAGGCCTCATTCTGCTCTCATTAGTATTCCCCGTGGGCTGCAGCAGCCATGGGAAAGCTCTCAGGGAGTCAGGATCTCAGAGCCACTAAGCATTCTAGAAAATCTCTAGTTCCAGAGCTTAGCTTCTCTAAAAGGCTGTTGTCGGATACTTGCTGGTGAGAGTTGCCACAGCTTATTTTGGTCATGGTGGTCCATGGTGGTCCTTGGTGGTCCTTGGTGGTCCATGGCACCATTTCCTGCTGAACTGATACATGGCAGCATATATTAAATTCTATGTGTGTTCTATAAGACAGAATTTCAGAATGCATATACAAATGTTGTTATAGTCTCTAGTGATGCCTAAATGTAATGGCTATTTATCAAATAATTAAAATATATGTGTATGCAGGATTATTACTTTTCATGAAATGCAAGTTGTTTAAATACTGTCTCCAGAAAGTTTTATTATCTTACTGGAATAACTAAGAGTTCATATTAAATTGACTCATTTTTCACATGGGGTTATATTTGAATTCATCTTATTTTTTTATTACTATTTTTATTTTAGAGAGTGTATAAGTGGGGGAGAAGGGCAGAGAGAGAGAGGGGAGAGGGAGAGAGAGAGAGAGAGAGAGAGAGAGAGAGAGAGAATCTCAAGCAGGATCCACACTCGGCAGGCCCAATGCAGGGCTTGATCCCACAAACTTGGGATCATGACCTGAGCCAAATTAAAAAAAATTTTTTTGATGTTTTATTAGTTTCTGAGAGAGAGAGAGACAGAACGAGAGACAGCGTGATCACGGGAGGGTCAGAGAGAGAGGGAGATACAGAATCTGAAATCCAGGCTCTGAGCTAGCTGTCAGCACAGAGCCTGATGCAGGGCTTGAACCCGCAAATTGTGAGACCATAACCTCAGCCGAAGTCGGACGCTTAATTGACTGAGCCACCCAGGTGCCCCGTGACCTGAGCCAAAATTAAGAGTCAGAGGCTCAACTGACTGAGCCACCCAGGTGCCCCTGAATTCATAATTTTAAAGTAAAATTCTAAAATATTTTGAGGTGCCTGAGTGGCTCAGTTGGTTAAACATCTGACTCCTGATTTTGGCTCAGGTCATGATCTAATGGTTCATGAGTTTGAGGCCCATGTCAGGCTCTGCCCTGACAGCAGGGATCATGCTTGGGATTCTCTCTTTCCTTCTCTCTCTCTGCCCCTCCCTGGCTCGTGTCCTCTCTTTCTCAAAATAAATAAATAAACATTTAAAATAAAACAAAATAAAATATTTCAACAACATATTATTTCCCAGGGATCTGGACAAAATAGATGATTTGATGCAAGAAATCACAGAGCAGCAGGACATCGCCCAAGAAATCTCAGAAGCCTTTTCTCAACGGGTTGGATTTGGCGATGACTTTGATGAGGTGGGTAACACAGTGTAAATAATGGAGTATTGTGGGTGCTAAAATGGATAGCTTCCTCTCATATATAGCAGGTGGGTTTTCTTAAATATTTTCCTAAATATCATAAAGAATAAATTATATTTGTTAGTGATGTACTTCTCTTAAGGGGTACTTGAAAGTGTTGGTAGCTCTGATTTAAAAGAAAGATCAATATAGTTTAGCAAACTGCCCCCTAATTAAGTTTTCAGCTATTAAGGAAAAGCAGCATGTGATTATGTAAAGTTAGTGACTTTTGATGTTTGAAGCCTAAATAGCACCATTACACGAATCAAATGCTCGCACATCTGGGCAAAACAAAGCAGACTGTGTCACTCTGCAAGAAACAGACATATCATGCTCTGTAGTTGTTAAATTAGAGCTTAGTCTGCCTCTGCTTATTACACAGGCTATGAAACAAAATAAGTGTGGAGTGGCATTATTAACACACACATTCCATTTAGATTAATCAGTCCAATAATAGAGACTACAATTATAATGGTGGTTTTGCACTGTGAATTTCAATTGTTCTACTCAAAGCACATGTAAGTAGGACTAGTATATGCTAAATGTTTCCAGTTCTCTGATTAGTATGGGAAAGAATCTGACTCCCCTACTTTCTACTAAGTAAGATGTGGTTCCATGGAAACCTAGAAAATGAGAATTGAGTGTCATCAATTTTTGAAAATAGTGTAGACCACCATATATGGAATTTAAGAAACAAAACAAAATTTAAAAAGAGACCAAAAAAAATCAGGCTCTTAAATATAGAAAACAAACTGGTGGTCGCCACAGGGGAGGGAGTTGTAGGGAGAGGTGAAATAGGTGATGGAGATTAAAGAGTGCTCTTATCATGATGAGCACTGAGTAATGTATAGAATTGTTGAATCATATTGTACACCTGATATTAACATAACACTGTATGTTAATTATATTGGAATTAAAATAAAAAATATGCCTCCCCCCCACCAAAATGGTATAGACCAGGGGCTAGAAAATTTGGCTTTTAGGACAAATCCTTCCCATGGTCTTTTTTTATGGTGTATGAGCTAAGAATACTACATGTTTAAAGGATTGCAGAAAATAACAGCAGTAACAATAGAAACAAAGAAGACTATGCAAAAGAGACTGTATGTGGCTGGCAAGCCTAGAATACTGCTATCTGGCCGTTTAAAGAAATGGTTGCCTACCCCTGGTTAGCCCAATATGCACCTGGTGAGTGTATTACAATATGGTGGAAAGGGCTCTGGGCTCATACGGACATCTGGGTTCTGCCATTTGTTACTAAACTTTGTGCAAGTCCCTTCACTTTTCTGACCCTTAGTTTTCTCATCTATAAAATGAAAATTACTAGATTGCTAGATTATCTCTGAAGTTTCTTAATTCTAAAATGATTTTTTATCAGTGAATGAGTGTTTGGTATTCAAAGGCTATAAGTGATGGAGGAGATGATTATTCTGTCATGATACTTATTAAAGAAAATATCAATATCTTCTTTGTACTCTTGATTAACTATCAAGCTCTATTGACAATTCTGGGCACACATTCAATGTAGAATAGTGTGTTCTGCCATTACTATATTTACTATATTTGTTCCTAATTGTTTTGTGAGTAAAAATAGGGATCAGAGTATTCATTCTGAAAGCCCTTTATTCATAAAGCTTGTGGAAAACCAGAAGGCTCACAAGTACAAGTCACATCGCCTGGTGACATACACTTTTATGATTTATTTCCTTTTCATGAGGTAGATTTAACAGTGGTCAATCATTAAGCTTGCTGCACATCTGATATACATTGACTTGATCAAATGTTGTGGTTGGCTTAAGTATCTCCTGTCTTGGCCCATAGTATTTCTCATTTTAATATGAGATAATGATTTGTTTATGGACCTTTCTCCCACATTCGATAATGAGCTCCTTAAATGTAGGCACTGTTGATTCAACCTTGCATCCCCCACATTGAGTTCAATACCTGACCATGAGTGAGCTCTCAATAAATTTGTTCAATGATGAATGGATGAATAAATGAAGACTCTCATTGGTCAAATAAATATGAGTGTCTTAGGTCATTTATAATGGTGACAACCTCAGAATTCTAATGATGACAAATTTAAGTTTTGACTCCCAAGCTCACTCAGTGGGGATTGGACTCTACCTGAGTATTTATGGAGCCAATTAGATCTGAACTATCATAGTCATATCTGCTATAAGGTGACTTATGCCCTTAAAGTCTTAAACTAGACTTGCTTCTCTGAGATTCTTAGGGCAGAGAATAGTTTAGGATTAAACCAGACTGTCTGAGACTAAAGCTAAAAGAAATAGGTACAGTGTACCTACCTTGAGGTGAAGTTTTCTGTACCCTACACATAGCATGATTTATACTGACTTTGGAACATTATGGCTTTGCTATACCTGCTATATTTTCAAAAGCATTAGACCAGATGAAAATGTTTATTTGCTCCAATTAAAGTTTTACAGATTCTTACTTTTTTACAATAGGAAAGATACAGAGGAAAAAATGACAGACAAGGTGTAAATTTCCTAGAAACTGTGGAATTTATATATTCAGCTAACACAAATTACTTGAATAACTGTTTACTGAAGTATTATAAGATTAACTACAACAAATTTGCACAACCCAAAATATTCATTTTTTAATCATTGCTCAGTGTTGCAAAAAAGACTTAGTCTTAAAATAAATATTCCATTTCACTGGGTTCTCCCATATCAATTGGGTAGCAGATGTTCTTATTATTGTGTTTGAGGAAGCCCACTTCTTGAAACGTTAACTCCATAATTCTTTCTTTCTCCTATGTTCAGGATGAGTTGATGGCAGAACTTGAAGAATTGGAGCAGGAAGAATTAAATAAGAAGATGACAAATATCCGCCTTCCAAGTGTGCCTTCTTCCTCCCTCCCCACACAACCAGCTAGGATGCCGGGTCGAATGTCAGGCACGTCTTCCACTGCACATCGGTCCCGAGCAGGTCTGTTGCACACCTCAACTACCTACAGTCGGATACTTGCCTAAAATAATTACCCAGGTCCATCCCTTTTAACACTTATTTTTCACTTCATAAATGTTTACCTTTTAAAACCTGTACCCATACCTGTTTTCTCTGCTGAAAGTAGGAATGTCAACAACTACTAATTTTTATCTCTTTTATGTTCCAGCATCTTCCAAGAGGGCAGAAGAGGATGATGATATCAAACAGTTGGCAGCTTGGGCTACTTAAACTACAGCGGAATTTGTTGACATCTAAATTAATGAACTGTACAGAAGAATAAGAAAACATGTTTTTGCAATGTTCAGAAGTTCGCAAAGACCCTGTTTTATATTTACACTGGATGAGTAATTGTCTTTTAAGCTTTGTAAGTAAAAGTTACAAAGAATCGTGTGTAGACATAGAATCAGAGATGGAAAGAAGCTCCTGGTAGCATCTTGGAGGATGTTTTCATGCTGATGGGTGGGGATATTCTAACTTGTTAACTCTTGTATTTCTAGTCCTGACACATAGTTGGTGGCCTCTATACACTTGTTGAAAGAAAATGGAATTTTATGAATGTGTAAAACGTTTGTAAGCCATGTAAGAGTGATGCATTGAAGATAATAGCTAAAGAAAATATCTTTCTTTTCTACATGAAGGCAAGTTTGCTGTGTGTATCCATGTTAGAACATGTCTACCCCATGGTAAATGGAAATACACCACATCTCTTGTGGGAAAAACTACATGTAGAGAAGTCTTATGTGAGTCTATACGTAGTTTCACTTCAGTTTTGCAGTTTAAATCTTAAAAGAGCTTTAATTGACATTTATCATGCCAATTAAGCTTGGAATGGGGCAATGGATGCATTTCCCAAAATGTCTGAGAGCACTAACAGCTTACACTGCTGAGCAAGAATCTCCTGGGTGTAATTTAGCCACTTAGGAAGCCACGTTAACACTCCCCGGCCATTATGATGCTGTTGTGGCTTCCGCGTGCAAAATGTGTGAATGTTCATTCTTTCCTATTTTGTTCTCTCTTGTATATTTATTTACACTTTACGGCACGTTCCTTGTGAATACATAAACATAAAGGCAATTAAAAGTGTATTATGAATAAAATTGGCCATAATTATTTTTAAATGAAAGTAAATTGCAAAATGATAGATTGCCCATAATATGTCATGGACCATATAAAATGACAAATGTCATCATATAAAATGTTCTAGTATTCCCTATATTTGCTGAGGTACATAGTGGAATGTGAAGCACACTAAGCCTGGAGGTAAGAGGTAAGAGGCCCGGATTCTAGCCCTTGCTCTGCCGCTAATGTGACCAGGCACATCATAAACTCTGAACCTTTGTTTCTGCATTGGGAACTCGAAGGGTTGGACTTGATGATCTCTAATGGGTCTATCTTGCCACAGGCCTTTTGCAGTGCGGTTCCTCTTAGCAGTCTTCCCACCATCCACACCGGCACCAAATCTTACTTTTTTCCTTAAATCATAGTTAAAACGTTCTTTGTTTTGGGAAACTTTTCCTGATAGCAAAGACTAAATCAAATCTCCTTGTCATATGCTTCCATAGGACTCTCTAATCACCTACCAGGGTTTATATCTCTTGAATGATTACTTCATTATTACTGGTCTTCCCTGCTGGGCTGGGTGACCATGAGGGCATGGACTGTACCTCTTTCAATTCCACAGTGTATCCCTAGGACTCTGCACAGTTCCTTATGTACGATAAATATTTGATAAATATTTATTAAATGAATGACTAAAGTTTATTTATTTACTTTGAGAGAGCAGGGACAGAGAGAGAGAGAGAGAGAGAGAGAGAGAGAGAGAATCCCAAGCAGGCTCCACACTGTCTGCACAGAGCCTGATGCAGGGCTTGAACTCACGAATCATGAAATCATGACCTGAACCAAAACCAAGAGTTGGACACTTAATCGACTAAGCCACCCAGATGCCTTGACTATGAACTTTTTACATCTTTTGGGTCATGATAGAATAACAGCAACTGGATTTACCTCCCACGCTCAAACAACTAGAAAACTGGACAAAATATGCATAACAGTAGTTTACAGACCTTGGACAACAGACAGCACTGGACTGTGATTCTTGAGAGGGAAACAAAGGAACTGAGTACTTCTAGTGCCCCCACTCACTGCCTTCACAGGGATGGGGAGCCCCAACATAGTCTGGTGATCTTACTGGGAAGAGGAAATGCATGAAGAAGATTCTGGTGCAATCACACACACACACACACATACAGAATTTAATAAAACATGGTCTTGTCATCATGTATATTTCTCGCCATGAGTTCTATCCCAAGCTCCAGTCAAGTAGAAGTTAGAGGTTTCCTCTGGTTTTCCTGGCATCTCTTCAATATCAACATCTTTGTCTTAAAGCCTATTTGTTTGATAGTGGTATAGTCACTCAGCTCTCTTTTGGTTACAGTTTGTATGGAGTATCTTTTTCTATCTTTTTATTCTCAATCTGTATCTGTGCTTGAATCTAAAGTGAGTCTTTTAGGGGCTCCTGGGTGATACAGTTAACTCTCCGACTCCTGAATTTGTCTCAGGTCATGATTTTGCAGTCGTGGGATTGAACCCCTCATTGGACTCCACACTGAGCATGGAGCCTGCTTGGGATTCTTTCTCTCTCTCTCTCTCTCTCTCTCTCTCTCTCTCTGCCCTTCCCTGGCTTGTGTTCCTTCTCTCCCAAAATAAATAAATAAACATTAAAAAAAGTAAACTGAGTCTTTTGTAGACAGCATGTAATTGGCTATCGCTTTTAAAAACCTATTTACCAATCTCTGCCTTTTAATTAGAGTTTAATCATTTCCTTTGGTACTTCAGAAATTGTTTTAACTCTTTGAATGTATTTAAAATAGCCAATGAAAAGTCTTTGGTAAGTTTAACGTGAGCTTTTTTAAAGGACAGTTTCTATTCTGTACTATTGTGGTTATTTTTCTCTTGTGTTTGGACCATACTTTTTTGATTCCTTGTGAGTCTCATAATTTTTTTTTTGTTGAAAATGGGACATTTTGAATATTACATATTTAAATAGTATAATCCACTTTGAGTGCTTGTGGTTGATTCTTATATCTTTTTTTTTAGTTACTTTTCTGAACTAATTTTATGAAGTCTGCATTTTTTGTGTGTGCCCCCTGAAGTCTCTATTCCATTAGTGGTCAGCTAATAACTGGAAACACATATCCTTAAGCACCTGGAACCAAAATACATTGTATAAACAAAAAGATTCAGCATAAAGTGGTATGTAACACTCTGTACCTTTTATGAATCCACAATAACAATCTACATGATTTATTAATATTTCTGTAAGACTTGTTTCCTTGAATGTGACATATGCATAGGCTGCACTACATGGAAAATAAGGCTGATATTTCATTTCTACAATGCCCAATTCATTCATTCATTTGTTCATGCGTTCATTCACCAGACCACTTGATGATAGATATTGTGAATTTAAACAAGACACAGATCTTGTTCTTAGGTAGGTCCCAGGCCAGCAGTGTGACCTTGGAAGAGTTTCTTAATCTTTTTGAGGTTGAGATTCTTTAATGATATAATAGGAATACTATCATTAATCTCACTGGGTTGTCATGAGAATTAAATGGGAATATGTGTGTAAAGCTAGTGCAGTACTTGGTGCAAAGTTAATGCTTAAAAAATGCTTTCTTTCTTCATGCTCTTGTCAATTCTCAGAACAACTGAGGTGCCATAAATAACAATGATCACAGTCTGCCATATGCTATTTACATGCCAACTGAGTGCAAAGGGTCTTATGTAATATTTCATTTAGTTTGTAAAACATGGCTATGAAATAGGTATTATAGTAGGTATTAATATAAGTAGCCACTAATAGCAAAATTGAAAGTAGCTCAAAGACATTAAGCAACTTTGTGAGGCCACCACACAGTTGCTAAATTAAGAGTAAGGATTTGAACGCAGGGGGCGTTTCAGTGGCTCGGTTGGTTAAGTGTCCGACTTGGGTTCAGGTCATGACCTCACAGTTTGTGAGTTCGAGCCTCACATTGGGCTCTGTGCTGACAGCTCAGAACCCGGAACCTGCTTCAGATTCTGTGTCTCCCTGTCTCTCTCTGCCCCTCCCCTGCTTGCGCTTTGTCTCTCAAAAATAAACGTTAGAAAAAATACTTTGGATGCAGGTCTCCTTTAGTTTAGCACCTATCTCCTTAACCTTTTCCTACATCTCTGCTGATACTAGCGCTTCCCTCACGAGATGACACATAAAATCGTTAAAGAATTAGTTCCAGGCCAGTAGACCTGAAGGACGATTTCTTGCCTTTCCTTGCCTGTAGAGGGCAGCAGAGAGCCAGACCGAAAGTGGGGAGCACTTCATAATATAACCTTAAACTCTTCTCTACTGGTATTTCTCCTAAAAGGTTATTTTAATTTAGACAATAAAAAATCACAGAGGTCTAAAACTGTAATGAATTCCTAGGAAAGTGAGCCAGGTAGCATTTTTAAATGTTACTTATCTATTTTTCTGATAGCTTTTTAAAAAGAACATTTTTTTTTTTTTTTTTTTTTTTTTGCAGAGAAAGAAAGCAAATCTTGGCCAAAAAGATTAAGCCAATAATAGTTCAGACACTTGTAAAGAGCACTCCCCTAAGTCCCTATTTGAAAAGTTAACCCTTCTGTAGCTTAGTTCTTAGTCAAGATTGAAGAGTTCAAGATCATGTCTTTAAAATTTAAGGGCATTTCAGTTGTCTTTACTCTGGTCTCTTCCCTGAAAATGTTTGTTGGCAGGATTGGGAGCATTCTGCCATAGCCAAAGGCTTCCGATGGCTGTAGTGCTTGAAGTCACCCAGTGCAGATTTTAGAGTGCAGGGAAGCTAAATGTATGACATGGTCACTGCCTGTGGGTCCAGGATGGTATAGTTAAGTCCATTTTTTTAAAAAAGTAATCTCTACACTCAACATGGGGCTCGAACTCATGACCCTGAGACAAAGAAGCACATGCTCTTCTGACTGAGCCAGCCAGGTGCCCCCTCTGTCCTTCTTTTAAAACATTTTGATTTTTAATAGCCCTAAAGGCATTTAGTAAAATAACATAATTAAGACTTGGATCAGGCTTGTATTTAAGGAATAGAGGTATAATTTGCTAAAATTTTGAGTTCTAAAAGTAGTGATAAAGTAAAGTCTAAAATGTTTGTGTATTGTTTGAAGTAATTAAGTTTACCACTTATTGACTTGATTCTAAAATCATGAACTTTAGAATTTTGCCTCTCTTTCATGGCAGTAGACTACAAAGTTACTCTTGACGGCAAGAACTACAGATGCCCCACACTAACCAACCCTGCCCCCCAA